AAAAATTATAAAATATGTAAAAACAGGTAGTTGGCCTTCTTTTGCCCAGAAACATGAACAATTTAAGATGTATTTTAAAAAAAAATATGAACTTTCAGTTGAAAATGAGTGCTTAGTGTGGAATAACAGAATAATTATTCCTGAGTTATTACAAAAGAGAGTTTTGCAGGAACTTCATCAAACACATTTAGGAATTGTCAAAATGAAGGGTATTGCTAGAAGCTATTTCTGGTGGCCGAAAATGGATAAACAAATAGAAAATGTTGTAAAAAATTGTGAAATTTGTGGCTTAATTAGTCCATCTCCTCGAAAAGCTAAGTTATCTTCATGGAAATGGCCTGAAAAAGCCACATAGATTTTTGTGGGCCATTTTTAAATAAAATGTTTTTTATTTTTGTTGATGCTCATTCAAAATGGCTAGAGTGAGAAATTTATATTCCAGAGTTAGATATGAAATGGAAACGACATCTTGACCAAATAAATTTTTTTAATAATAATTCTTTGCCTACAAGTGCAGTAAATATGTCTGCTGATGTAGAGTTAAAAAGCCAAGATGTAGTTTCAGCGGTCTCTAAACCTAAAAGATTAATTAAACCACCAGAAAGATATGGAGCAATGTAAATTAATATAATAAAGTACCTATATAACTTGAGTGTAAATATTAATTGTAAATATTAGGTTAATTAATTGTAAATAAATAAGGGAAATGGAAACTCTAGTATATAGTGAATATCTAAATAAAATTGTTGGAATTAAAAAAAAAAAAAAAAAAAAAAAACTTCTACTTTCGTATTTTTATAAAAAAAAATTTTGTACATAACATATATAAAAGTTAATAGAATGTATTTATAAGTAAAAAAATATTGAAGGTGGGAAATGTGTTGTACATTGTAAATATTACTGGTACGCCACTGGGATATTTATTTATTTGTTTGATTTGTTATCGCCTACGTACATCGATGGGTATGCTAAAAAGAAATCATTCTTGTATTAACCGTAAATGAATAAAGAATAATAATATTTAAAGTGTTATATAAACTTCATATTAAGGACAATATAACACACACACACAAATAAGTTGAACTAAATAATGTTTTCACTTTCAAGGTAACACGGCATAGAACTGAATATCTGTCTTTGCTTACAATAGGCCAGATACATTTGGTACTTGAGACTAACGATTTTAAGGCTAAATCATTTTGAAACTCAATTACTTCCATTTCTGTTGCAGCGATGTCTTCGCCAAAGTTCTGCATAACACAAGTTGCAAACTGTTGGATATCAATTTTCATAAAGGGTGAAACAACAAACTGGGCTACTAAAGCCATTTCGTTGAAATCCTTAAAACGATTTTTGAAGTTATTCTTCAGGGTAGAAACTATTTCTACATGATATTTGTTGTCATAGGGTTCTAATGGATTTTGAGATATTTTTTCTGAAAGAATAGGAAAATGCTTGGCATCGCTGTTAATTAGGTTTTGTTCCCAAAACTCCAGCTTTTTGATAAATGCTTTTATATGAGAAATCATTTCCGCTAGTTCTTTGTCTCTCCCCTGAAGCTGCAAATTAAGTTCGTTTAATTTCTCTGAAATATCCACGAGAAAACCAAAATCTCTAAGCCAGATTGAATTTTCTAGTTCCGGAGTCGGTTCATCGCGTTGTTTGAAAAATTGAACTATGCTAGATAGGACATCATTAAAACGTTTCAGCACCCGTCCTCTACTTAACCATCGGACTTCAGAGGGAAGGAGTAGGTCCCTGTATTGACAGTCAACTTCATCGGCCAAGGTTTTGAATAATCTTCTTTGTAACGCTTGAACTCTAATCTTGTTCACAATTTTTACCACCAGTTTCATAACATTGTTTAGTTTCAGGAAATTTCCACATAATGCTTGCTGATGGATAATGCAGTGGTAACAGAGAAATTGCGGAAAAGTTTCATCTTTACGACGTAACGCCACCAGACCCTTATCACAACCCACCATAGCTGGAGCGCCATCGGTTGTCAAGCCTACCATTTTCGATATTGGAGTTTTCTCGGAAGAAAAAATATTTTTTAAATGAGAAAACAACTCCTGTCCAGTAGTGTGTCCTTTCAGTGGAATAAACTTCAAAAGATCTTCTTTAATCGTAAAATCACTACAAACCATCCTGACGAACACAGCCATCTGGGCAGTGTCAACGACATCTGTTGATTCATCCAGTTGAAGTGAAAAATAGTTGAAACTATCTCGTCTTTATTGCTACAGTTGGCAAATAACGAATCAGCAGCTTCTAAAAACGCCTGTTTTATCATTTCCCCGTCTTCATAAGGTTTCTTTTTTTGTGCAATTATCTGGGACACACGGTACGATGCTTCAGTTGCAGCCTTATTTTTGTCGACTGTTCTTAAAAATATTGATTGTTGTCCAATTAACTGCTTTTTTAACTGTTTCAGTTTCTCCTTTCTGGCGGCAGAATGTAGTGGGAATGATTTTTGAAAATTAGAATTTACAGTTTTATGATGTCTCTCAATATTTCCTTTTTTAGCAACGGAGACCGAAGTATTACATAACAAACACACATTTTTATCTTTAACTTCTGTAAAAAAGTATTGTTCTTCCTATTCCGAATGAAAGTGGTATGTCTTTACCTTCTTACAACTGCTTGCCATAATATTATTTTTTGTTGTTCTCTACTAACCCAACCGCTGGACGTTTGTTACGCGTTCGTTTTAAACTAAGTGCAATGCAGTGTTGCCAGAATATAATTTTGTAATGTACCAGATTTGTCTAAAAAATGTACCAGATTCCATAAAAATGTACCAGATTCTATAAATTGTACCAGATTTTTTGAATTGTGTTGGTTTTCTTCATTAAAGAGCAAAAAGCTTTATCGAGAACGAACACAAACAATATGGCGACAATATATTTTACACGTCAAATAGAAACAGGCAAAAAACAGAAAAAGTACTAGATTTTGCTTCTAGTGTACTAGAGTACCAAATTCTTAGATAATGTACTAGATCTAGTACAATTGTCCTGGACTGGCAACACTGTATGTGCGTGAACGCTTGAATTGCAAACATGGCAGCGTACATGGTATGCTTATTTTGAAACACGGGGAAAATGGCCTTTTCCTATCTTCTCTATCGAAATCTGTGCACCATCTGTTACACGATCAATGATGCACAGTTCATCTATTAAATGGTAGAGGGCAGGCCAGATTAGTGATCACCCAACTGACGCATAGGAAAACTTAACGATATTTTGAAATTTATCGATATTTATGGTAAATAGCAAATGCATCGATTTTTATTATGAAAAATTTGTATCGTCAGAATAATGTTTAAAATTTTACAAAATGTACCAGAAATATTAAAAATGTACCTATTTTTGTTAGTCAAAAATGTAGAATTCATTTAAACATTAAACGTTTTGAATATTTCCATGAAGAATAGAAACATTATACCTAAACTTCCGCTATAGATTCGAATACGCACCATTTTTTCTTGTCACCTGTCAATGTCAAAGTTTTTTTGTAACATTTATTAAATATTAAATAACGCCTTTCATTTGTAAAAACATTTCTTATCATTGTTTTTACAGTTAAAATACTTTTTTTCTTAGAGCATATATAGGACTAGAGATATTATTCAATGTATTTTGTTATGTACAAGAGGGGTCAGGGCAAGGGCGGCTCCAGAGGGGGCCATAGGAGCCATGAC